TTCCGCCCTTGTGTTTCATCCAATGCACCCTGGGAGCCCCCTTCATTCATTCCCCCCTTGTGTTTCATCCAATGCTCCCTGGGAGCCCCCTTCATCGCCCCCCTTGTGTTTCATCCAATGCCCCCTGGGAGCCCCCTTCATTCCCCCCTTGTGTTTCATCCAATGTCCCCTGGAGCCCCCTTCATTCCCCCCTTGTGTTTCATCCAATGCCCCCTGGGAGCCCCCTTCATTCCCCACTGTGTTTCATCCAATGCCCCCTGGGAGCCCCCTTCATTCCCCCCTTGTGTTTCATCTAATGCCTTCAGGGAACCCCCTTCATTGCCCCCACTGTGTTTCATTCATTGCACCCTGGGAGACCCTTCATTCCCCCGTTGTGGTTCATCCAATGCCCCCTCTGGGAGCCCCCTTCATCGCCCCCCTTGTGTTTCATCCAATGCCCCCTGGGAGCCCCTTCATTCCCCCATGTTGTGTTGAATATCCGAGGTCACCTCTGTTGCGAGGAACCTCTCGAACCTCTGGACTGCAAGTAGTCGCTACGAACGAGCAAGGAATTCATTCGTTTCGTCCACGGACCGTCCATGGGAGTGGATTGATCCACAAGGCATCTTAAACACCCCACATCGAACCTCATGCTGGCTAGGTCAAATGCAAGAAACCAAGAAACAGCATACAAGACACCAAGTGGGGTGTTATATGTTGAGGAATTGTTAGGGGATGTCATTTCTGTGGTCCGGCGTTCCGGAACTTCACGTTTGCTGAGCCAAAAGACCTGCTCCTGTTATAGGGTTGCAATTCAGAGTTGTGGCCTGAACAACGGGGCTCAGAGTTACAGGGCGCAACAGCCGAATGAGGATGACGACCCAAAAACTCTGGTCTTACGCCTGGTGTTCGGTCACTTCGGTGACTGGGGGACGCGCCGGACCGCGCGCCATCGCGGCATTCAGGTGCCCCCCACCCACCAGCCAGGCATTGAGGTGACACCTCAGGTCTCAGGTGGGTTTCCGTGGAGTTTCCGTGGGGTTCGGTGGTGTCGTTCCGTTGGGTTCTTCCATTGGACATTGCAGGTGAGCTTCTATCTAGATCCTTATTTGGGTGTCACCCGTCTCGTCGTATCCGTTTGGTGGTGATTGTCTTTAGAGCAAGCATATTCGTCTCAAACATGCACTGCCTAGAGAGCTTCTTCAGGCGGATCACACACGCAAAACGTGCCGTTGACCAACTGAACCCAAAGGGTAAGTGGACAAAGCTGGCTGTGCTGGCCCACCTAGAATCTCCCTTGGTTGCTCTCTCACATGCTACTTTTGGGATCTGTTTCCACAGGACTCTTCCTGTTGTCTGGTTGTTCCTTGTTCAGTGTGGTGTCCCCAAACGTGTCCCACACAGGGCGCAACGGTGTGGGGCTGCCGTGATCCATGTGATTCCTGGGTCATCTCAGTTCAACACCAATTCATGTGGTCGATGTGCACCTTGCGACCTCAAGCATCGAACGTCCGGACGTTCGGACGGGGAAACGTCAGGACGTCCGAGACCTCTGAGGCTGAGATGGGGTCTGTAAATGGACGTGATCTAGGTGGACCTCCAACATCAACACCTATGTATACCTGGAAGAGCCTGAGTGACCTCTATGTTTGGATCACAAACCATCCAAAATATGGTCCTTTCGGCTATCAAAACAAAGGTCAAATGGGCTCAAATTGTCCCTCCTCATGATCTACCCTTTTGCAGCTTTTCGGCTGAGTCATTGCCTTTACTAATTTCTCCATACCTCATGATCTCCATCAACAGCTATGAGTCGACTGAGGTAGTCCTCAAAATCAGTCCGACATATGTTTGACAGCTTTCATGAGGTAACAAAGCATATCAAATTCGTGCAGCTCTGCTAGCTCTCGGCCATTGTCCACACCAAAATTAGTGGTTGGTGGCATGGTGGTCCAATACACGTCACTCAGGGTGTATGTTATGTATATGATCAAACGGATGGATTCCAAGGAGTAGCATGTTTTGGGTCTATCCTAATACCTGCAACAGTGAATGATGATGGTTCAGTTGCAGGCCTTGATCATTGTTTACTGACTGTCACAGGTAAGTTCGGACAGACATGGACAGACCCTGTACTTTTGTTTCATCTTCCGTCCTCTTGTCTTCTTCTCGACCCTTCAGCCGGGCATCCCGAACCTGCACTGCGAGACATATGGCTGGGGCGGGTATCACGCCAACGGTGGCAGTGCTCCTGGCGATCAAAGGAGCACACGGATGGTGTCTGAGTCTTGTTCTAGAATTGTGTTGGGCAATGGCAGCCATGCATGGCCAACCATCAAATATTGTTTTTTGTGAAACAAAAGCAAAAAGAAAAGCACAACAAAAGCAAATGAAATTATCGTTGGTGTTGTTTCCCATTGCTTGGACTGTTCTGCCTTGTTTTCCTTGTTGCCTGTTTTGTTTGCTTTACCTTGTGCTTTTTTGTTGCTGTGTTTTTGCTTTATAAAACTGTTTTGGCTCCTTGTATCTATGTCTGGCGCGCCCAACATAATTCTAGATCTGTATAGGGAAACATGCGGTGAATGTGTAGGATTTATACGTTTTGAACGATTTGAGCAACTGATGTAGTGACTACGACCACTAAAAGTGTTTTAAAGATGTTGTAAGGATATGGATAGAGTTTCCCTGCCAGTGTCCATCCTCCAACTCCAGCTTAAGAGGCAGTGCACATGAGCAGTGGTTGAATAACCACGACTGGAAACAGGTAAGTTAAACGCGTTCGCTCTCTGGAAACCATGTACTCCCAAAGCAGAATACAGAATCAAATACAACATCGGAGGCCACCGTCAAACAGTCTGTTCTCGATCAACATCAACTTAATTCTCTCGCCAGATTTTCTGGCAAACCGCACCTGGCACGGTCCCGATCAGCCAGCACAAAGGCTTTTTTCTCCACTGACCACAGCTGTACAGATTGGAACCCTCTGCTGGAGTCCCGGTCAGGAGCTTGACATAAGGATGAAGGTTGGCCAGTCGAAGATTGTGTTTTCTTTTCAGAAGCCTCTTCTTCCGAGTCCTTTATAGTTTTCTCATAGGAACCAATCTACCCAAAGAGGTCAACAGTTGGGTCAGTGTCAATGACCTGATCCTCGGAGAAACACCCAAACCTCTGCACTCCCACGTCTATGTTGTAGCCACACTGGAGATTTGAGCGATGGATTTATGGGATTAGAGCTTGACCAACCCGAATCTTCAGGGCTTCGACCAACCCTCTTTCGGCCCCCAAAAAAGAAAGGCGTTTGGATCTCCACCTGAGGAGCGACGATTTCGTAGACTCTGAGGAGCGACTGGTGATCGATGTTTGAGTGCCTCGAGAGGTGGTCCAGTGCCGTGCAGTACCGATGAGACGAATCATTCCTTGAGTTGAAAGGGGAGGCAGGCAAACTATTGAAGCTGATAACTGATAACCAGTGATTCCAGTTCGACTTAAACCATAGACCGAACGAACACCTGGTTCCTTACTAGTAGCTGCCTGGGATTCACTGGCTTGAGTGCATTGAAACGTGATGCGCAGGGGTTCTATTGAGTCACATGACAAGGTCTCCACAGTCACTGCAGTCCCCGACCGGACATGTTCACTCCAAGACACAACAGGTCGTGTGGAGTAGCCCATACTGGAATGGTCTTCCTTTCGGTGCATGGGCAAGATGATTTCAGTGTATCATATACCCAAACACGACTGATGGGTCCCCACCCAGCCGTTTCCCAGGAGTCGGAAACAGACATCAATCCACACAGCCTTCGGAGGAATCACCCGGCAGTTCTCTATTCCACACCACACAAACTGTGGTGTTTCGGAAGGGGCGAGCTGCTCGCCCAACATGTCGAATTGACGGAGTGGGCTTAGCCTCCACTCTCTGGTGCGATCTTCACTTGGAGAATGATCTTCCTCTTCCTCGAATTAGTCGAATTGGGCTGCTCACTGGAGGCCCCACTTGGCCTTCCTTGGAGACTCGGACGAAAAGACGAGGATGAGGGCGTCCTGTGGAAGGACCTCGTCCTATGAACCCTGGGAGTCTAGGTCGACTGTTTAAAGCATGGTCTGCATGGTGGCCCGAGTCCAGGCATTTCTTTACTTTGCCAAAGATGGTCGAACTGGACTTCTAGTGCAAAGGTGCTGTGTCAGGTGCATCATTTTGGCATGAAGTGCGGATATCGGGAGGGTGACCTGGTTTTGTAGTCTAAAGTCTAAGAATGTCTGAGAGTCTAAACTTCTTACTAAAGCAAATCAATGGTGGTTGGAATCCTAGTAGGGTACGGCTACCGTATAATAATATGTTGAACATGGTTCAACCAATTACAATAAACTGATACAGTAAGTCTCATGAAGGAACTCAAGGTCCCAATGATTCTTGGAGATGCGTAGCGCTCATTGTCAAGCACTCCCCTGCATCCACAGCTTGCTGGGTTGACTGAAGGGTCAACAAACATGGAAGCGGAGGGCCTTTCCCTGTTTGCCAAAGGAGCAAATGGCCTTTCCAGGGCTATACCGGACGTCCACCTTCACCAAATGTTGGAGAGAGGGTGAGCGTATAATACCCCCCCCCCGGGTTCCTAGACTAGAGTCTCGCACCGGCCTCCAACCTAATAGCAATGGCCTCCAACCTATTAGAGATGGCCTTCCACCTAGAAGCGATGGCCTCCACCAAGAGTCCAACCTTCAATGCTGAGGTGTGCCTCCTTGGCCGTGCTCTCTTGTGCGTTCAGCACATAGCGATTGTCTGCGCCGTTGCTGCGCCTGAGTGGCGGGAGACTTCGGCAGCACGTCCCCAGGCAGATGGCTCAGTTTGTCCGTGGCAAGTAGGGCCCATTAAAACACAGCCCGTGCAAAGAAATGCTATTGGAACTGAACTATATAGGCTACAATAGTTCTAAGCTGGGTATAAATTATGTACTACTGCAACAGTTAATTTAAAGTGAATTGGCGGATCCAACGCAGGAGAGCGTCATGATTCATGCTTGGAAATTGGATGTAATTGTCCACGTTCTATCGAGACATAGAGATGCAAGACGAACACGCTATAGTTTTACCTATACCATCCTCCTCTACCTGGGTGATGTTCAATCTCTCACAAATGGAAGAACCAGGAAGCCAAAGCCAAAGCACCTCGGACTCAGGATGTAGGGATATCCATAGATATCCCAACGGGAATACCCCGGTAGAGTACAATACAGCAAGTACATGCAAGTACAATGTTTGTTGGACTCATCTGATGTCTGCATCAAAGCCCTGTCAAGAACCTGGTAGAAAACACAAACACAAAAATGCTGGCTGGTTCATAGAACATCTCTGCAAGGGAATTCTGAAGCCGTCAACCCCTTGCACGTACCACTCTGCAATGTTGACACTAAAGGGTTGGCCGGCAAGCACCTGGAGATAAGAATGTTTAAAACATTTAAAACCACCAGGGGTACACCATCCTTTCTAGCCAAAAAAAAAATTAAACCTCATCAGGCCCAAAAGCAGGAGAAACAACTGAAACACTCTTGGCCCTAAATGGCACCCTAGGCCCTCTACATCAAAGAACTCGGCTCCCAGGCCCCGTGCTTCTTCCAAACTCACAACGGTGTCCTGCACCTGCTCCCACCGACGTCCCCAACGCGATGCAACGTCACGCGGCCCAAGCGGCTTATATGCCGACCTACTAGCGATGGCCTCCAACCTAGAAGCCAAGCGGCTTATACGCCAAGGTGAGCTCGGCGATCCACTGGCGGAGCGCATCCTCGGGGTTGGGCTCCGCCAGCAGCGCACGGATGGAGGTGAGGCACTGCTGCACGGTCAAGTTGGGTGACCAGGACTCCTTGAGGATGTCGAGACCTGGGACCGCCAAAACAAAAAAACATGTCCAGGCCTTGGGAGAACTATGGAGGATGGGTATAGGTGGTTGTGGTGCAACACATCATGACCCTGGAGTCGCCTGAGGCTGTTGAGCGAGTACTGCGAGTGAAAAAGGTCTGAAGTGGATGCCATGACCAGGTCTGAAAACCACAGTGGGGTGAACTCCACTTGAGAGGAGGGAGACACGAAAGGTAGGACAGCGGGAAGAGAAGAGAACGCGAGAGGCAGGAACAAAAATGCAATGTTCGACATGGTGATTTATCCCCTCGGAGGCGACCTTTCGTAAATATATGTTCATATGCACTCTAAATGTTCAAACATGTGCCCTCGAAATGTTCAAAAAGGTTCTTAGGAAAACAAACTTGCCCCATGGCTCAGATCATCTGTGAGCATTGAATCGGAACATCATAGGATTTGAACTATCCTGAAACCATAAGAGGCTCACGAAGACGCTCCCCAGGAGAGAATTGACGTGCTTCACAAAACAAACTCTAGGTATGTATCCCCTCGGGGGCGGGGGACACCTTTCGTGATTAGAATTTCATATTCACTCTTTCTAAATGTTCAAGAGGGTTTCAACTATCCTGAAATCATGAGAGGCTCACGAAGACGTTCTCCAGGAGAGAATTGATTTTAGAGGGGGGGAGGGGGGGGGGGTCTGAATTGAGCGATCAATTATTAGACCCGGACGTCCCAACACTTGCTTCGCAAGACAAACTCAAGGTCAAGGTATCCCCTAAAGGGCTACCTTTCGTGACTTCCATGTTTGTTCAAGAGAGGATACATGTTCTGTTGAATCTTTTGTATTTCACACGTGCGACATCATGCCAAACAACCCATCATACCCCACATGCAACAGTGCGGATCCAGAACTTACTTAAACAGGAAAACACCTGAGAGATCCTGACAAAGTACACTGGTTACACTTGCATGTTTTTTGTGCGGCATGCAAAAGGAAAACACCACAAACCGCCCCAGACCTCACAAATTATAGAGATTTGTTCCGCTCCTCCACTACGTTCTGTGTTTTTCCTTCGATTTTTCTGGTTGAGAGGCTTGATTTCAACATCTGCATTTCTCCAAACCTCCCCTTTGGTACTTCAATTGAACCATCCGATGTCCATCGTCCCACGGTTTCTGCGTTCCGGTTTCGTGTTTCATCGACCGGAAAAAAACGGTTTCTGCGTATCATCCGCCGTGCGGTTGCGTGACAAATTCCTCCGTTGGCATTCACATTGCAATGATAAATCCTGGGTGAAAACACAAGCCGAGCAGTGCTACCCAAACGCTGGGCGTGCTACTCCGCCCCTTCTTGGGTTCGACATGGAGGTGGCCAAACTTATCCAAACTCCCAACGGGCTGGGCAAGTGATCCACTTTTCCCGGTCAATCCATGTCACAAAGCCATGTCACAAACAAACCTTCAAAAGATTGGGCAGGTAATTCATCTGATTCCGGGGTAGAGAGATTTGACACCATTCATGACACTTGTCAAGCAGCCACCTGGTCAAACGGAAAAACGAAGCATGCCGTGAGCGCATTCGGTCGGCGCACTCGGCTCAGTGTTTTTGGGAGGGTCGGGAGCGTGCCGAAAAGGAACCAAGGCAGCCACGTGGCAATATTGGAGGACCCCTGATATAGATTTAGTTTATTCATGGCTTATCATGATGTTACTGAGTTTATAAATCAGGTGTCTATAATTTTCTTTATAAATCATATCTGGGTGCAACTTTGGACCAGGCCGAAAAATGTTAAGGGGTTGGAATGAAAACAATGAAAAATCGAACTCTTGAGACCTTTTTCGGCTTCACTGGTGTCAGTTCCGATGCAGCTCTCCCATGTCCACCTGCAGTCGGAGCATGATTGGCAAAGATTGAAGAAATCGGCTTCACTGGTGAAATCTCGGCTCCGATGCAGCTCTCCCATGTCCACCGCGGAGCATGATTGGCAAAGATTGAAGAAACTTCACATGCTACTAAAAAAAACTGTGATCAAATGATTGAAGAAAGCGTGTCAGCTTACATCTTTGGAAACGGCCTGATCCTCTTAAAGTTGTTGGTGTGGCTTTTTATACCAAGTTGGAGCTGTTTTGCCTTGCCTGATCTTAGGGCCTATTTGGACCATGGACCATGGACCATGAGCCTGACTCAGATCAAGCCCCACTTCCAATTCCTGGAAGCACCCCAAAGTTAGCCGGATTTATATAATTACCAGTCCACTTCCTTTGGTGTGGATCTGGGGACCAACTTCTGTGTCCAGCTGCTGCACTTCAGAAGCCTTGCAGCGCATTGGTTTTTGGGCCTCAAGACCTGTGCTGCTTGCAGCTCAGGCCAAGATCTGCACCAATCTACAACGCATTTGCAAACAAACACCTGGGAAAAGGATGAGGATCTGACAGCCCTGCCGAATAGTGGAGCTGAAAGCTTTGGCGGAGGTCATTTTGAGTGCTGCGGTTCAGAGCCAAGGCCCAAGGTCCAAGCCAGCAGAATCAGGTTTTGGTGCTTAGACCCTTCGAAGGGAGGACGAAGCCCTTCAAGCTGAGAGAAGCCAGCCCACATCCTGTGGTGCCAGACCCTGGCAAAGCCACAGGCATGAGTGAGGCTGTGATGAGTCCAAGGTCCAAGGACCAAGATCCACAGCTTAGGCTTCATTTCACCCAGTAAGCGACTACCTTGCACAGAGCTGCTGAATTTTGGCATTGTTGATGGTCAAACGGGACAGAAATTGCTGCGCAATGCCTTGACCCCTGCAGTTGACCTGTGGAGCTTTGGGCGCATTGACTTTGAAGCAGCTTGGGGTTAACTTGGCAAAGCCTTCGAGGACATCTGCAAAATACTGCTTGGCAAGCTTGGCAGCTTCCTCACTGTACAAGGAAGAGCCTTCTAGTGCAATGAGACCGCACGCGGCACGGTCTGCAATTGCTTGAAGCCACCGGAGATGTGTTTTGTTGTGGCCTAAGGATGACAGGCTCAAATTGGGCCACTTTGCAAATTTTCCACTCGATCAGATATCATGGACCTTGGACCTTGGCATTGGCATTGGCAGGGCCTGACTCTGAAGGAAACTAAGCAGACTTAGTTATATACTTTGATTAGAGCAGGGTTGGCCCAAACGATAGTCAAAGTAGTTCCCAATGGGCGGGAAGACGAAGAAGACGAACCCCGGGCCTGGGCCAGCGAGTTTAGAAAAGGGGGTGAAGCTACATGACGAAGAACACCTGGATCTGAGCTCCAGGCCAAAGGGAGAAGCAGGGGACCTAGGACCTTGGACCTTGAACCTTTTAAGGCGGCGCGGCGAGTGCAAGACTGAGTACCTTAGACCTTGTACCTCCTTCAACCCAAAAAAGACGAACGCTGTACTCAGATATTGTTTTTCATGGTATTTCATGGTTATGGATTTAAAGATGTGCTTGCTTTGGGAACATAGCTACATAAATCATCATAGATCGCCTGGATCCTTGTCTCCGCGCCACACCCAGTCAGATCGTATAACAGCCCGCTTTTTCCACCGCCGCCGGACCTCTCCACCGCCACGGTGGAGCTCGTGGGACCTCTCTTCCGCACCACCCGACGTCGCCAAGGTTCGGCGTCTGGAAGGTGATCTTCGGGGGCTGGAAGGGATACTCGTTGGGCAAAAGCCTTGGGAGAAAAAACATGCGTCCGTAACCGCGGTTGCCCCCCCGTGGCGTGTGGTGTTCCACCGCCGAAAACCCACGTCAAGAGGAGACGACGAAACAGTTGAGATGGGACTAAGAGATGAACCGGCACTGTCTACTGAGCTGTCAGGTGCAAGCGATCCCTTGGTGCAAACAGTCAGTCACCAACCCTTTGGCAAACACTGCAGTGATAGCCACTGGCGGTTTGTTTACGATGTTTTGCATCTTAGTTGTGCCCAAATGTGTCAGATTCTGTGGGATTTGCACCTAAGAAGGTCACAGACCCATGTTAGATTGTAAGACCCGCTGCTCTTCCTCCGATCACCGGTGGTCCCAAACTGAAGAGACCCTGGAAGGAGATAGCCGTGGTTCCATGGAGTCTATAAGATTGGAGATGAATAGACCAACTCGGGCAAACAACTATTGGTTGGTATCACTTTTGTCCGTTCAAGTCCAAAAGCATCAACAAAACATAGTGGCTACTGCGAGAAGCAATTGGTCTTGACGGAGTTAAATGAATCATAAATGAACGTGAGTCCAGGAACTTAGGCTTGAGGTATGTGGATGGATTAAAATGACACACATAATGAATAGGCAACTATGAGTGCAACTATGTTACACCGAAACACGCGGCCAACCGTTTTTGTGAATTCACAAGCTACGGTGCTCCTAATATGCTTCTGGATGTGGTTCGTCTTGCTGCGGAATTCCCAAAGTTCTTACTTCTCATCCTGAGTCATGAGCCTGCTCTTGTTCTGCACAACTACTCCACAATATACGGGAACCTTTATGGAAACATAAACATAATATAGGAAAAGGAACATTGCACCGAAATAACTTACTTGTTCTCAGATCTGCAAAGGTTTTGACCTTTAGGGATAAATATAGTAAATCTCCTATGAATCAAGGGGCTAAGGGTCTTAAGAGTACACCAAAGGCAGGTGTAGATCATGCAAGGGATATAAATTGATAAAGGAACCAAAAGGCATTCTATGGCATTGTATACCGTCTTCTTGTTTCGCGGTTCAAGCAACACAACCCTGGTGGAGGAACAGGGGCAGCCAACCAAAACCGCTGCCCAAACAGGGCAGCTCGCAGCATGCGTAGCACACCAACAAATATATGTTTCCCAACAAATGCACAGCAAATCCTTGGAACGAACGGACAAAAACAACAAACACTCCATGGTTCATTGGTTCCCAAGGCATATTTTGTCTGCATATTTACATACATTCGCAAACCGTCCATGTATGGAATATGTACCTATATTGACCCTTGAAACATCTTGAAACCATCCTAATGTTGGGAAATATGCCAGTCAGTCCCATGGAGTGTTTGAGGCAAAACACCCCTCGAAGACAGACCATCTCAGCGAAGAAACAAAATGAAACAACACACAGGACGGCAGCACACGGATTGAACAACATCTAACACGGCACAGGGGTCTGTGGGGTTTCCCACTGTTCCAAGGAGCACATCCAAGGCGAAGATACCTCCCTCAAAGGGACTCTGGGGAGGCCCTTCCATCAGCACGCGCCAGAAGCTCACATCTTCCTTGGTGAGTGCAATGAGTTGAAACCACATGCCACATGCATCAAAGAACCGAGAGAACATCTTCTTGGACCTGATGGACCGTCGAACGTCGTTGTGACCGGTCCCTTGATCGTGGAACGCGACCTGGTGGCAACCCACCACACCCGGTCGTGCGTCCGTGGGCCCCACAAAGAGGAGACGCGTGTCATCCAGCAGCCGACTCCGTGAGTAGGTTTCAGGACAGCCCTGAAACCCGTGAGTCTGGGTCCGGGGTACCTCCTTGTGTCTCAGATACTGACCTCTACAGTCTAGTCTTGCAAAGTAGGCTTACACTTCCTCAAACGATGAAGTCCCCAAGACATGTAACCTACCACTGACAACAGTCTTTTGTTCTGCCAAGCAAGCATTCAACACCCAAGTATTCACCAAGCACAGTTCTACACGGACTCCGGGTGTTGTTCTCTCTTTTGCTGGTCACCTGGCCTGAAACGCCCAATGGCCAGGTGCGGGTCAGTTTGTGGGTGATTTTGCTGTCTTTTGAGATGCTCCATCAGGTGCATGCAGAACAAGTGCTATCAAATGCTGCAGCACCGCTGAAAACCGTCAGGAAGGTTATGGACACTGAACACAATTAGTAAGTCAGAAGTCAGGATCTATAAACCTCCCTTTCGGTGGTGCTTCTTATAGATCCTTAAGGAAACTTAAAATAGAGTATAAGCTATAATAAACGATCATAGTGACACGGGCTTACAATTACATGATTTCACAATCACAAAACTTCATGGAATTTCCTTTTAACCCATCCCAAGTCATCCCACAGCACCATCTCCCAAGCCCAGAAAATCGGCCCACCCCACACCCGTCACCTCCCCCCTTATTCCCTCCGGGCCACCGTGGGGAAGACGTGGATCCCCGGCGGGGCGCCCTCGTTGAGGCGCTTCAACTCCATGAGAATGCGTCGCAAGGCACCCGAGCTCAGGTGCGATTCCTGCCGTGGGTCCCGAGCGAAGCGGTCGCCGAGCCGCACGTGGAAGAATTCACCATAACTCGCCGCCGGGTGGAGGAGGGTGTGAGAAGTGTTCAACGCGGAATGAAAGAACTTGGAGAACATGTGAGAACATGCGGTGTCCCTTTGGGGTGATTTATAGCGTGTATTTAGGCGTGTATATGATGTTTCGATGTTTGATTTGCTTTATACCGCCAAGGCTGGCAGGATGAAGTCAATAGTTCCCCAGCTACACAGCAAACATGGAAGCTGATCGCCCCTGTTTGAGATGGATCATTCCACCCCCACCCATTCCGTGGAACACATCTGGATTCCTTCGATACCTCGTCACGACTACATCAACAGCCAGTTTCAGTTCAACAGTACTTAAGATCAACAGCCAGTTTCAGTTCATTACAACAGTACTTGTCAGTATCATTGTGGTGTCTGAACTGGTATGATGATTTGACACACACAAGCATCAGACTGATGTTCTTATATCAGTCCAAAAAACACATCACACCGACCTGACATCCATCACCCGACCGTCCGAACGGCCATGTCCGAGCCCGAGCCTTCTTCAGCGCTTCGGTCTCCACCGAGGCCAGAGACACGACCTTCTGCTGTGCCAAACGCTCCTGACCGTCCGAACGGCCCACCGTGAAAGAAGGAACACGAATTCAGTCAGGGTGAATGGTCCAATTCCATCAAAATCACTATACATCACCAATTTCAGCTCTATGATCCAAAAACTGCAGCAGATTACATTTGAAGGCTGTTCAGCATCTTACGCTTGAGTTTCTTCCTCAGCTATGGCTATGGCTATGGACTATGGACGGAGAATGACGGAGATGAGGCATCCACTGACCGTTGTAGGTTTTCCAAAACAGCTTAAACTAAACTGCCAGGACCTTCAAAGTGACCTCTTTGGAGTGTTTAAGTGACCTGTTTATAGGCCTTTGGTTGACCTCATCCTGGCATCGCAGCTTTCCAAAAGCCTGGTTCAACCCTGCCCACCACCCGACTTCGTCACACGAAGTCTCAGACTCGCGCCGTCAGGAACAGCGGCCTGAACGAAGTCGCGTACTCGGGGCACATTGGAGCCAGAGATGATCTCCCTCTCCTTGACACTCTTGAAATGCACCTCATCTTCTTGCTTGCTTGCGCATCCACAAGGAGCTTCCACAAGGAGTTTTGAATATGAACATGGTTTCAGGGTCAAAGGAGCTTTTCACTTTGGACCCTGCTTTTCAGTTTTCCAACATCTTCCAACACGTTAAATTAAGGCATCCAGTGTGCTGGTATGGCGTGGTTTCATGAAATACAACACGTCTGCATGGATCACATGATCCGCGCGCAGCTCAACCAGTCACGCCTGTGTCCAAAATGCAAACCTAGATGGCGTCGTCTATGCCCAAGATGGGATTGAAAAAGTGAAGTCTCTCCAAAAGAAAGTCCTGAATGATTCGTGTTTGTCTTATTGTTGTTTTTTTTCTCTCTCTCTCTCTCTCTCCCTCTCTCTCGGCCTCTCCCTCTCTCTTGGAGACCACTCGCGTCTATATCCTACCTAGATCTTCTTGCTGGGCAGCATTTTCTGCCTAAACCAAGTTGGGTGGCAACTCTTGCCTACTGAGCTTCTAGCTCAAGCTCTTTCAATCAACCCGCACGGGTTCACCCACGAACCCGATCCCCTCCCTGGCCTCGCGCGGCTGGTAGGGCGGCTTCTCCAGGCCTCCGCGGCGCGCCTTCAGGGAGACGACGGCCTCCGACTCCAGCAGTTCAAAGCCTTCCAGGACCAGTCCGGGCTGTTTAGGTAGAGGTGGGTTGGGGGTGGGGGTGGGACGGTGCTCTTGGGATGGGAACTGGGTCACACATGGTCAAACAGTGCAGGGATGTATAGGACAGTGTAGGGTGTCGGGGGCGCTCTGGTAGGTTCCTGAATTTTCAGGTGAAGGGCATGATGGCGGGAGAAAAGGACATGGAAGTCTGATTATGGGTGTGTCTACATTTTGTGGTGAAAATGACTTTCGGGTTGTGTACCGTCGACAGTACAACTGGTTGTGCGAGATTATGTTCATCCAGGTTCTTGAGTGAACCTCCAGAAAAGGAAGAAGTCACACCACGTTGATTTCATGCCGCTTGCAGCATTCTTGCACAAGGGAAACCAGAAAAAAGTGCTTTCTTGAAACTGCCCCAGCCTTACCAGCGAGCAGCCACACGCGTTTGTTTCATGCGCGCTCGCTACAGTACACTTCGATCGGTGAACAGTTTTCCTTCACCCTGCCGCAACTATCCACCATTCACATCACATTCCACATCATCCTCTCATTCAGCTCTTGGCTTGGTCTACCATGGTCTATGGCACTCTTGATAAGCACCCGCATGACGGTCTACGACCCCACCGTGTGACCCCGCATGACCGCTCGAATCCCGTGCACTTGCTGGCACTTGCAGGTCGGATGAGGCCGCCTTCGCCCAGATGGCCGATCTGGTAGCACTGCCCATCGGTGGCCGTCACGATGCGTCGCAAGTCGCTGTCAGGATTGTTCCCCACGATGATGGCCTCTCAGCCATGTGGAAGGGAAGAGGCTGGCGGCAAAACCAAGAGCTCGTCTTCGTGCCAAACGGAAGGAAGTTCGGCAAAAGTCATATCAATTCCTGCTTCTGCTGTTCCTTTTGGGGCCCTTAATTTCCTTAACCATGGAAGTCCATGAACTCTGGACCCCTGGTCTGATAGGAGGCAAGGTCCATGTTTCGGTTGGCTCATAGTTCACCCAGACTTGACATCAGAACTCTCTTGGGGTCCAATTAGTTAAATAAATCCACCCCCGCAAACTAACGTGGAACCTGAGACTCGACCGGTGGAAGACCAGTTTCCTCTACAACTCGACGTAGTTTTGCGGTTCCATGTTTAATCTGCAGAGTAGGATGTTCTAAAGGTGTACTTCGGACACTCCATGAGAGTCCACCAGTTCCAATGAGCAGGGGTAGACCCTTCGCCAGTGAGTTGATCCTGGCCGCGGCGCGAGCGGCGATAAAACCGAGCCACGTCCACCACTGCTCCGATGTTGTTGACAGCTTCAAAGGCTGCTTCTGGAGAGACACCTCAGATGAACACTCAGTTTCAGTTGAATCCAAGTGGCACAAGCCATGGCAGTGGATGACTGGGACACGGAACGTGAAACACGGAAACACCAAAACCGTACGGCCATGGCTGACCTGTTTTTTTCCAGCAGAACCCACACGAATGGGCCGCCCACTGTTTCAACTGGAACAACGCACTGCTAGCTGAGATGAAACCGCTTGCCTCGGGGCCTCCGGGGGCCAAGGGGGGCGAAACGGAAGGAGCGTTTCGGACCTTCCAAGGCACCGGAGTTGTTTTGCCCATCGGTGAGCACCAAGATTCGGAGGTCCACCTCGGAGCGACTCCGCGGCGGGAGCCGTGGTGGGTGCTTTAGGTCTGCCCGTGCGCGCGGGCGCACGAGGAGGTGGTTCGCTCTGTCTTTGTCCCTGAAAGAAGCAGTGGTTTAATGACAAGTGGTGGGATATAGTGGATTGAGTAGATGGCACAAGACCCCAAGAGGTGGTTTATATCGTTTATATAAACCCCCATGTGGACATCTTGAGGTCTGTGCCATCTACTCTGACAAAAATGAAAGTGGTGAATGGCATGGCTCCGAGTTCGGATGACCAGGTTTCCAAGTACCAAGAGACGGGTGGGTGGTAAAACCACGTCCACGTCCCATGGTTTTCGTGACGTATATAGGCCCGTGCGTATGGTCCTGCTTTGGGAAAACACACCATATGTTGATTGGTTGGCGGTCCAAAATAGGTGTCACACCGAGCGGGTCTAGGGGCCGGCATAGACGATGCCCAACCCGCGCCGCGATGGGATGGTCACTGCACGGCCCATATCGAGACACTTTGGAGTCGGTGCTGAAGTACTTCTCCAACATCCGAGTCGCCTCCAGTTGGAGCGGGGTCAGTCTCTTCTAGCCGGAGAAGGTCCACCGACCAGGAAAAGGACATTCCACATTGAGCCACAGCAAGGGGAAATCCATTTGTTTATATAAAGAATAGTATATCAGTATATCCCTATGGCATTTCAATACACCTTAGAGGTGAGTAAGAGATGCTTGGAAGATGCGATTTTAAGGTAGATATTGTCTCAAAGTGGACTGAAGGCAACAAGAAGGCATTCTCTTGTCTTTGGTGACCCGGCATTGACAGAAACATACACAGTCTATGAAGATGCGATTGAAATAAGCAGTTCCATTTTGGGGTGCCAAACTTGGAGGAAGTCGAGGCTGCCCCACCTACAGTAAGCTCTCGACGGGCTTTAAGAGCCACCTCTTCGGAACTCCAGGCAGGTCCGGCGATTTGACCACCCGCAGGATCTACCCTTGAATAGAATGAATATGAGGAGTCGGACACTGCCTCGTGCAACCAAGCAAGCTTGGTGCTTCGTCTCAATGTGGAGCCATGGCCGCCAGTTGGAACTGGGCAACCAAAACGACACTTTGAGGGAGACTAGTACTAAAGACCATGCACATCATAAGAGAGGAATTCAGCCAACTAAGGCCAACGCATTGAGTTTCCATCGTTCTTTCGGTTCTTTGTAGCTACAGCACATTATAGGACTAGCTACCAGTCAGTATACTTATATGTCAATAATTATCATGTTCTTTTCATGACTTGCGTTCCCGTGGAACATATGTCCATGAAAACCACACCAGAATTCCAAAAGAGCTCTTGAACTCGACCAGGGTTTCCAGTGATGGGAAGGAGGGAGAAGCAACCACAGCACGTCATGTAGACTCTTGATTAACAAAACCCCCAAGCCTCTTCAGAGGTTTGACAATCCATGTCTGAGGTGGGGGCTATTGATCAAGAGTCGACACTACGCGTCGCTGCGTCCTTCCCACTAACACTCTGGCGAAGCTGGCTCAGGGTCACCCTTGAATTCTCGCGGTGAATTCAGGAGAACAGTCTCCGATCGGAATCTGCTACACAAGTTGCCTGAGTTGCCAACGCTTTCCCAAAAAGTCACCCGTCGCAGGAAACCTTCCTCCTGGTGCACGGTGCGTGCCCAGGTTGCCACGTCGTCCACTCGTTGCACGACGCTGAAACTTCGTGGCACGGCGTTCGCCTCAACGATGGAAGAGTAGATCGCCGTCTGTCCCCTCTTCTTCATGTCATCCACCACTGATTCAAATAGATCCAGGGACGGCGTGGTGTCCTCGAGTTTCAAGCTTCAGGGACGGCGCACAACTCTTCAAGCGTTTAAACCTGTTTAATGGGGGAAACAAATTCTACTGAACGCTGACATAGAAACTCTGCATTCAGGAGACTGTTGGAAATGTCTAGGTCAATGATTGGAGTGGAATGATCTTACGTAAGTCCCAAACTGCACCAAAAAACACGTAGACTGTCCACTAACCGTATGCAATTGGACGTACACCTGTATTTCCGAGGAACCATGGTGATCCGAGGAACCATGGGAATCCACTTCGACTCATGACGACTCACCGGACCGGCATTCGCGGCAGTCTGAAGTGGGTGAACCAGTGCAGGGTACCACAGGGTACCCACACGTGTCCAACCAGCCCTTGGATCACCCAAAAAGTCCAAGGGGGCTGGAGACCACGGACCCGGACCCAAGGCTTTGTTCGTCCGATCCCTACTTAGCGATGCTTCAGCATTTTGCCCGCACAACGAGTATGAGCACCCTGTTGTCGCAAAAAAAAGCGGCGGTGAAACAGCAAACGTCCAACTGGAGACATGAGTCCATGAGTTCATCGTTCCATGGTTCGGAAGTATGAAGTTGTTTGTGCCAGCAGTCACATGTCGGGGTGGTGTTTGGTCCCTAAGTGAGTGGATAAAGGGCACTCCGAACCTCTATTAAGCACCCCTTTGTGACTGCTGGTTTTGGTGTCTTTCTCATTCTTTCTCCGACAAATGAATCAACCCAGAGCTCGACTGGATTCATCGACCCGATTGTTGAAACACACAGCGCTAGGCCGCCTAGGCCCTCGAGCTCGCAAGGGTCATATAGGGTTTGTTAATGACAATTCCCCTTTCATCGTAAATCTCAAAATTTTGACTGATTGTGCAAAATCTTTGGAATTCTCCAATCAAATCAGTCGAAATCAAGATTGGATATACAAACTTCTGATGCAATATGGTACAAATCCTTTGGAATTCTCCCATTACCAATGGATGATGATGGTTGATCAAGGCCTTTCTCAACCATCGATTACTAATTAATGGTTGCTGGTGGGACACGCCCCGTGGATCCACATGGTATGCATTCGATCGATCCTGTCATGTCCTGTCCAGTCAGGCAGGTCCACACTCACTGCGTCTTCCAACACAAGGTATTCCTCATGACCGGAACAAAAGCTCCTCCAATCTGAACCGCATCCCCCAAGAGTGCACAGCTTTTTTTTTCGTCCTCTATGGACTGAGGGTTGTTATAATACACAAGAATGGTACAGTTATATAATATGTGCTTTCTCCTTTCAACCATGAACGAACAGAACACCACCGACATCAGACCCTCATGCACCATGTCAAGTGTCCAGCATGCGCTCGACCTTGTCATCGAATTGAAGCAATCCTAAATGATATTTTCCACCTCGGATCTGCTGAAGCATGCTGGAGCGTGACAAAAGAAAGTCCTCTCTTGAGCTGCGATGACCAATCAGTGCGTCAGTGCATACACACAGGAAGCAAAACAAAAAAAAAACGCCCCTGGCAAGAAGGGCTAGTTTCCAAGATTGCTTTGAGAAAGCACACCTAATTTAGACTCATTGATCGCCCCCACCCCACCCCACCCATTTGGATGGCAAAGCCTCTTCAGGCTTGGAGGTGTCATATCATCAAGCATCTACTTTAACCAGCCAGAATTCCTTGATGTTCCAATCTCTAAGTGGTGTTTGTCCACCTTCCCATTTTGCTGACGACAGCGACGTCAAACCTGACCAACCACTTGAACTAGTGACCCCTTCTCCTCAATTCTACATACAGCTGTGGCTGAAAAAATAAGACCCAAGCACCTGCAGGTTGGAGATCACTTTTTCTTTCACCAGTGCGTTTGGATGGTTGTTTGAGCCACAGAAAGTATAATGATAAGATATAATAAGCCTAAGCCTGTCTAAAGCATTCTAAAACCATGCATTCACCGCTTGTGGCATGGGCCAGGACCATCTGCGAGGTGTACCCAAGCGTCGCCATCAAAAGGCATATCTGTCTTGGCAGAGGGGAAATCAAGGAAGAAACAAACACAACTCATGTAATCCATGGTCCGTTAAGCGATTTTGAAAGTTGATTTCTGTTCACTTTGCATTTCTGTCACATACCACATGCACAATCAATCTAATTTTAACCCACTAGCCGAAGGAGCTCCATACACAAAGCCAGTCCCCGGTGGCCCAGTGCCAGCCTTTCGTTCTGGAAGGACCCTATGGAGTTGCAATGTGGGCATGAGTCATGAGCCCCAAAAAACCAAGCCTGAAGAGAAACATGAGGGGTTCATTCCTTGACCATTTTGTTGTCCAGGTGCTGCCCATGCTCTCGACTCGATCTCGGAAGGCGTAGAACATGGCCTCGATATGCTGGACAGCAGTCAAAGCCCAGTCATGTCAGGGAGCACGGGTGGTTGGTACCGATCTCTATCGCCCTTAGTAGAAGTCCATGTGCGAGTCCATATATCAATCCTCGTTGTGATTGACAACATTCCGCGCACCTGTTCAACATCATGTCTACTCCGGTTTGGGCTCCAAGTACCTTCTGAGAAGGTGCTCGGGGTGGATTTAGAGGGTTCACTCATACCTTCTGAGGAAACACTTGGAGCCCTAGGAAAACAAACACGAAACATCAAGGTAAGACCTCCCTGGTTGCCTTGAGCAGTTGACAGGACTTCAAGACCGCCTAATCACCTGCGACGTAGCTGAAGCTCCGCCGCTTCGATCGCTGGGCCATGCGGCCGCCCCAAACTTCTCCACCGGAGTGAGGTGTCTTCCAACAAGGTTGGCAAGGTCCTCCACGGCGGGTCATGGCTTGGTCCTCCACCTCTTAAGAGGCTGTCGCCCCAGTTCCGCCGTGTCCCTGTGCTCCTGACCGCGCAGGTGACACCTTCCTGGCCGCAGCGGTGGTCGCCACGCTCCCCGCTCGCTCCGCTCCGACCGCACAAAGGCCCCGGCCTTCACCGCTTCCATCCGAGTGCGCTGCGCCACGGAATCTCGGGTTTCGCCTTGAGGCGGAGTGAGAAATGGACCGATGGACGTTTCTTCCTGTTTAGCCAATGGCCTCGAACCTAAGGCCTCCAACCTAAGAGAGATGGCAGCCTTTTCCATGGCTGGAAACCTTCTGGTTGAATGGATTGGAAGCATCCGCTTATATCGTTTTATGGCTGGTCGAGTAGAGTGGAGTCATTCGGATTTGAGTGATTCTGGTGTGCATGATAATAGAAAACCTATTATCGCTTTTTCATGAGTCTCATGCATGGTTTTTTTCATGGATACTATATCGCTATTATGTATCGCTAACAGGCGTCGTGTCGGTCTGGTCTGCCTCCGAAAACCGTGTATCTCCTTTTGCCAGTATGCTGTATACTTATGATGTTATGAAATGATGAACATATGATGGTGAATTTTATGAACACATATATTTATTTGTGTTATAATGGAATCAATATGAATCAATGATTGACATGCTCTTTTCACCCCCCCTCCCCGACCTCTCCCGCCTTTCACCACATTCAACGTGACCTCTGCGAAGGGAGTTCCCATCGATCCTGCGGTCGTTGATGCCAGTGCCTTGGGCCCCTGACTTGTTGGAGTGGGACAACATGGCGGGTCGGGTTGAGCAAATGTTGGAAGATGTTCCGCGAAGGATGTTAAACTTAGAACAAAAGTCGACTTGGAAATCCACGCACGATCAAGTCACATGCAAAACATCGCAGAACTTACACAACCTCATTGTTGCCCAAGATGAGGTAAATCCAAACACTCAACACCAACAAACAACAAATATATATTTGTAATGATGTGCATGTGTGTTGCTGGTCAAGCCCTTGGCGCACCGCAAGAGGGCACACCGTCGCACACCGTCCTGAGCGATCAATGCAAATGGCAATCACCTCCTGCAACGGCTCCTCTGGAGGCGGTGGTGGAGCGGCTACAGCGCCCTGCGGTGTGCTGCGGATGGAAGCTTCTTGTTGGAGGCAAGGTGTTCCTCTACGCTGGACCACCAACCACTCAATATATGGTCTTTCCCAATCAAAGCAGGAGGTCAGTGGGTTCTAGGTTGGCACGCCCACGAAAACACAACAACATCGAAGTTCGCATATTGTGAAAATAATTTGAAACTCCCAAAGTTCCTAGCAAAAGGTGATGATGGGGATGGGATTGGTGAGCACCAGTTCCGAGGAACAATTCCCCAGGAAATGCAAGTTGATCATCACTTGGACTCGAGATCCAAAGCGAAGAAGGGAGTCTGATAAAAATTGTTGTTGGCCAAAGTGCCAAAGTTCATTGAAGCAGCGATGCTCCTACATGAAGCCAGCCTTTTATTACACTCACTTGTGGAGTGGTCTACAAAAAAACACAAAACTTTCCTCACCCACAAGATTCCCTCAGAAATGGCGGCGCGCCAGGCGCCGGTGTATCTAGAGTGGGGGTGACCATATGATTCCATATGATGTATAATTATTAGAGTATTGTATAGTCAGTATGTGGTGAACCCTGAATCTGAAGCGACTCTGTATACACACGGCACTCCCATTGGTTTAAAAGCAACGGAAGAACCACTCCCACTCCCGGCCTCGCTTTCGGTGATTTCGGTCCAAGAGTCCGTCTGCGGCGATGTGAAGTTCCGTCTGGTTTGAAGTGCTTTCCGAAACGGGTGGATATGCTGGAGATCTTGATGATATGCTGGTAGATAGTTTCATGATGTTTCATGTCTTTTTGTTTTGTCTGTTCTTTATTTTTGTTTGGTGAGATGTGTCAATGATTGGGTGTTTTGCTGTTCAAAATTATGTTGTTAGTGGTTATATGTTGTTCTAGGTTCGTTTCTTGGGGATCAGTTCGTGTATAATGCTGCTTTGAGCAACTTAACATCCTTTTGATAGCTTTATATATATATACCAGGACCCTCGGACAGGTCACCAATAGAGACCTGTTAGGGCCTAACAACCCTCAACTAACAGCCTGGCCAGGAGGGTGCTGGTAGAGACCATGATTGCGACCATGAGACATCTCTTCAACCGGAGTCCATAGAGATCCACTTATCCAAAAACCTGCTTTTCCGATTCCTTGGACCCTGCCACTGGTGGTTTCATCCACTGGCCATCGCATGAGAGCCCCAAGAGCCCAAGGGCTCAAGGGCTGAGAAGGGTAAAAGCAACATCACAGTGCATGTGTTCTCTTGTAACTGATATGTTCGTTGTGTTTTTTGTGTTATTCTTTAAACAAATGTGCTTTTCGAGGTTCGCCCCGCACCCAAAAAGGCGAAAGGACAAGAAGACGGATGGCCCCCACACAGAGACGCCAACACTCACACGACAGGGCCACCTCGAGTCGGGCACCGATGACTTCCGCCACAGCTTGCCGGAACTTCTCCGCCGTGACCAGCTTCCTGGGTCACACATGAACACGCCGAGGTCCACAAGAGCGGAGACGCGGAGTCCATCTTCCCATGTCTTCCGACACCCAACGCATGGAACAGCGTCCGCGCCACCCGACACGTGTCGGGTGTCTCCGATACCTCTTTCGTCCGACGGTTGTGGCGAAGCAATGAAGGCTCAACGAAGCTTTCCAAACATGCTAATGGCAAAATTCCAACCAACGAGTCAAGAGTCAAGCATTCAGGTGCTTAATCCTGAGTGTTCAGTTCCAAACGAGCATCAACACCATCACCGGCGTCCATCTGGAACCCTATCGACCTGTTGGCGGCGACTTGGTCCTTCAAGGCCTTGTTACTCCATCTTCTCCCCTGACTCCAAGTTCTGTCGGCCTTTCAAGTCAAACAACCCATCACGAAGAATCCGAACTGGCTGCGGGCCAGGCCACCTGGAGCCCCAAACCGTGGCGTAGGTGGACCTCCCTTCTAGACTGTTCTGTTCATTTTCGATGGTCAACCACAGTCTTCTGGTGCCATGACCCATAGCCAAGTGTCTTCAACACCAGTCTGCACTACCTTTAGGTCCCACATAGCTTGAAACCCAGCAGACAGGCGCATCCCAGGTTTCCCAACAGACCCAGCCTTCGACTGGAATGGCTCACAAAGCAAAGCGCCTGGAATGACAGACCCCACCAAAAAGCAAACCGGGCCCATGTTTGTTCTGACGAGTTCGATGTACGCACAAGTTTGGCAACACCAACTCATCAGCAAAACACGAGCAACACGAACAACCCACCCCTGCCAGGAGCCTCCTGTCGGGGTGTCTATGTATAGCCCCTTAGCTGTGTCAAGGGGTGTCCATGTCTACCACCCCGACTGGGGGTCCCAGTGGTGCAACTCATCATCTCTGGTGTGTGCAGAACTCCCCACTGCAGAAGAGCTTCAACTGCAGAGTCTCGATGATCTGCTCTGCCATCTTGGCCTCGAAGCGATCTAAAGCCGAATGGTAGCGGCGTCCAACCCCAAGGGCGATGGCCTCCAATCTAAGAGCAGGATCTTGCAGGTATTCAGGACTGTTAGACTGTTAGACATTCTGCCAACTCGGATTTTACCTTGTGAATCTCTAGGGCTTACCCACCAAGCAGTCCTTAAGTTTGCCAGTCTTTCTCCAAAACCAAACCCTCTGTACCACTACCTTCCGTTCGTGACCGAACTCTGGAGTCCATCCAGTGACCGAACTTACAAGCCTGTTCGTGACCGAACCAACCAGGGGATCAAGTTCGGTCATTGGGAAGATCCGAAGAAGGTCCATCAAGTGGCCTTTACCTTGGACCTCCGGACCACCGAACTGAGTTCTGAGTTTCTGTCCACACCAACCATCCACTGATCCACATCAGGGCCTCGGAGATCTGATAGAAGCAGCAAAGCAGAACCCTCATGAAGCCTCCCCGGTTTTTTTGAGTCACGACCTGAACCCTTGAAAAGGAACATTCCTTCCGTCCGAGCAAGTGGATGCCAGTGGCATCAGGGGAAAAAAACTTGGACATACACATCACATAAGATCACTCATAAATCACCCTTTCCCCCCCTTTTCTCCAGGACGAAGTGGCATCAATCATCTTAAAGTCTTCCAAGCAGGTGACCTCAGTGGTCACTCCGAACTCACGCTGCTTTTCTCCGTACAGGAGGCTTCAACCAGCGGATCAGGATGGTTAAGACGACGTCTCAAAGACCATCGAGCCCAAATGAACAATGCCAAAGGGATCAAGTCCATGAAAAACACCAGTATCGAGCTTGATGTTTCTTTTGCACATTTGCAAAAGCAAAGGGAAACAACGGAGACAAAGGAAGACAATGTGAGACAAAAGGATACAAAATGCCAAAAATCATTTTGGCCCAGGATCGTTTCTATGCAAGAATTGAGAACCCCTCACAGCAAAGCTGAGCTGGGGAAAGAACATCTCTGCCCCCATCTAAAAGGGACAAATCTCACTCTACAAAAACCAGGGACGTGACGTTGACGTTGACACAAACTGTTTGATATGGAAACCATCCAAATCTCCCATGGAAAATATCTCTATGTCTGTTGGCCTTTATAGAAAGGGGCCTTTATAGAGTCGGGATGCTTGAATTAATCCATCAAACAAATGGCCCAACTGAAATGAATCTGAACACCGGTCACTCCCCAAAATCCCAGGCACATCGGTCACTTCGACGATCTTCTCGGCATACCTCCCCAAGCCCTTGTGCTCCAACCAATCGTTGACTGCCCTCATCTTGGCTGATGCATCAACCACTTCCTGGGAGTGAACGGCGGCAACCTCTAAGGAGTGAAGCAAGGATGTTCAGCTAGGAACCAGGAAGAGCCAAATCAACGGCTAATATATACTCTGTGCAAATGACATGGCTCCTAAACAGTTTTTTTGAACTTATAAACCGGGATGCCCTGCCATGGTACCCATATAGGTTTCTACCACTGTTTTACCAACCCCTCTGTCTTTAACCTGAAGATGATCATGTTACAAAAGGCGCATTCCCAAGTGCCCTTGTCGTGGTTCAACGTATACTCCAAGGTACTAGTAGGTTTGGACAATTTTGGACATGCTTGTTGGAAGATGATGGTCCACTTTCATGGAAGCATGGAAGGAGAGTTAGTGTACAGCTTCAGCGAGCTGTTTTGTTGAATACAGTTTCCTCTTCATTGCTTTTGCTTTTCGGTGCTCGTTTCCCTCTGCTGAGACCAAACACTGTGTTTCCAGTCCAAGCGTCCCACTCTGAAGCCATGGTTTCTAGGGGCCAACCTTCTCGCACCACGAATTTGGGACAAAAATGCTTTGAGCTACGCAGAGCCGGCCAATGGCAACTCTGGGAGTCTTTTTTCAGAAGAAAAGGACGGCCAAGGTGTCAGCGAGAACGGCCACAACGGAAGTGGAAGAAGACAAACGTGCTTTCTCCGGCTGGCAAACGTCATCACTCGAATTAGCTATTATATATTAAGTTAAACAATTAGGGAGGCATTCTGAAGTAAAACATCTGGGAACTATCGGGTCATCACTAAGGGCGTTCCGGCAATATATCAGAGTGCCTAAATGATTTGTGCCATGCTGTGTCATAATTATTTCCCTGAAACATCCCGGCACGCCTAGCAGTTGCTGACCCCGCAGACCCACTTCCTCAAGGTGTTGACTTGAAAAAATGCTGGCATCCTCTGCTCTTCTGGTTGGTGGTTGCACCCATGCCCCCCAAACAAAAATCCTTTGTTATGCCAGCATCTATGCTGAAGCAGAAAGCTGAATCAAATCATATATTAAAATAGAAGTTATTTACCCTTATATATATATACTTACATATACTATATCATGGGTTTGACCCACCCCAAACTGAAAACCAACAAAACACCGGTTGCGACGCTGTTCCATCCACGGTCTCACAGGGTGGTTGCTCCGACGGCCACGGCCTCACCTTGCTAAACTCCACCACTCTCAGCAGCTGTTCCAAGGTGACCGCACGGTCCTAGCGACGGGACCGGAGGTACCGGAGGTCTACGACGCTCGCAAAAAAGCGGGATGCACCACCCATCAGAAGGAAAAGAGATGAACACGCGGGAGAGTGCTATTGCACTCTCTCCCCTCTCTCTCTCTCTCTCTGTCGTTCTCTCTCTCTCTCTCTTTCTGTAGGAGAAAGATTGCCACCACGCTGGTGGGGGCAGCAAAAACGGGCATCATGGGAATATGAAGGCTGAGTGACTCAACACACGCCCAAGAAGACATCGTACGAGTTTCCAACATGTTCCAATGATAAGGACTTCCAAACAACTGCGCGCGTGCGTTGCCTTCATTTTGTCCGTGTTTCGACAGTTGAGGGTCAAGGCTAAGGGTTCACGCTGGGCGTTGACATAAGTTGAGAGAGTGCTGACATAGGAACTGAGCCAGCGGCGTTGGTTGGTGGCGGCACCGCTGCTTTTGCGCGCAAGTATTCAACAACTGGGCATGAAAAAACGTGTAGATCACTGGCCAGAGTGGGTAAAGAAGGCCCAAGCACGTGCCACCCGGCCAAGCATCCAGGCCTTCACGAGGAAAGGCAAGGCGCGACAAACACAAAAAGGAGTTGGCTGTGTTCCATGGAATGTCGAGATGAACAAGAGCACGTGACGGCTAGCTACATTTGGGCGGCCTCGCGCTTCGGCCAGCATCTGCTGGCTTCGTAACACTACCAGTAGCGCTAGAGCGCTCACGGAGGCTCTTACTCACGACCTTCGGTGAGGACCAGGTGAGCTGCGTGACCAGCTCCCTCGAAGTCCAGTGAAAGACGACATTTGGCGCAGTGTTCAAGAAATTCCTAGATGTGATGTTGCGTCCTGTCACCCATCATAGTATAGCAAGAAGCTATATACGGCCATTGCTAGTAGGTTGGAGGCCATTATGCTACCCCAAACACTCCATGTATGCCTGCCGCCCAATTGACCCCCCTGGCACCACCTGGCCTGATCGGCAGTCCTATGGCAGTCCCAGACACGTCGTGTCTGGGTACTAGCACCAATATATCGTCAAACCATGAAACAATTACACTTAAGAGTTGCTTTTGCAGCCAGGGCTTGGAAATTAAAAATAATTTTTTAGTGATCTGAGATACCCCGAAAAAAGTGATCTCAAAAGCAAGCGGTACTTGATGTCCAAAAAAAAAAGATTAAAAAAGCAAGAAGCCAGAAACATATAGCAGTAAAAAAGAGAGGTTGAAACAAAAAAAGGCAAGAATGCTCACTTCCAAAAGCAAGAATAAAGCAAGCAAAACACCAGAAAGAACCATAAAAAGAGAGAAAAATAGCAAGAAGAGATTCTTCAAAAAGCAAGATTTGAAGCACAAAAAGTGAGAAAAATAGTGAGCAGAAAAGCAAGCGGTGGTTGACATACACGCATAGAAAGCACGAACCGCTCGACGCTAGCCGCCCAACAAAAGAAAGGACGATCATTATTTTCCATGGGCCTGCGCATGCGGCCTGGTCAAGGTCTTTGAGGCAGCAGAGTCCACTGTCAGCCCGCAAATGCTTGGATTCCGAAATGATACAAAATGTTAGAATCTGTTAGAACACGTAACAGGTGAATTAAGTAAGTACGAAGAACAGCAATGTTGCTGTTTGATTAAGCCAATGGCCTAAGGCCTAAGGTATCTAACTGAACAAACAATGCAAAGCTTGCGGGTAGTTGGTGCTTGAAAATAGGACTGCTGCAACGTCACCTCTGGGTAGATGCAGCTGCACTGACCTCTTATTCTGGGAGGGACAAAAGAAAGGTGCGACTGAAGGTTACTGAGTTCAGGTTGGTTGCCACTGCTAGGCCAGCGGCTACTACTAGTACTACTACTACTACTACTACTACTACGACGATTGATAGATAGAGGTTTTATGGCCGCACATTATCACAATGACCAGACACGAACAGTTGGGCAGGGGTCAGATTGCAACCACAAACGGGCCATGGCTACTACAAGTGCTGCTTTGCAGCTTCGAGCAACACAGGGTGAATGTCAGCCACAGAAGACCCATGCTTCCTTTCCAGAAGCAACGCATGATGGTGAGAGATGACATTTTTCATGTCCTTCTCATTCTTGTCTTTAGCCGTACTTGATGTAGCCTTTTTGGCCATCAAATTGGTGAGAGCATATGCAAAGGCTGATTCGTTATACTGAATTTGCGCACTCTTGGTCAGAGCTTTCAGCTCATTGACGAGCTCCCGGGTCTTCTCAGTGCCAGTCGAGGAAGGAAATTTTCCCAAGCATTCTTTCATGGCAGGCATCTCCTGAATCACAGGGCTGTCCGACTACCCGAATCTATTGAAATTAAGTGCATAGGCATACAGCTACTTAGTAGCTTAGCAGTCACTATACAAAACTGTTTCCAAAGCATAGTCACTATATAGTCACAGACGTATGATTTGACAAACATAGCAAGTAGTAAGTAGTGTAGTTAGTAGTGCCGCAGTGAACGAAAGCGAGTAACAAACCCTTGCCTATTCAATTCTCTCACACCCAGCTAATTACAATGTAATATTTATTAGTTGTTGGTCGTAACTTAGTAGTTTACTAGCTACTAGAAATTAGTAACTAGTAACTAGTATACAGTGCAGTGTAGTGTAGTGTAGACTGTACAGTGCACAATATTTAAAATTTAAATAAAGACTACTGATACTGAATATTGAATAGAATACGAGGTCTTAATACTGAATCAATATTAATTAAGTTTAAAACAGTTATAAATAGGTTAATATATAGTAAAAAAATACTGGACAGCGCACGAAAAGAAGAAAACAAAAAAAAACAAACAAAAACATAAGAACAAAGCATAACACAGTCGCTGCGCTCCTTCTCAGCAAATTCAATTTGTTCTTTGATGCTAACACCTTTCACTTTCAAGATACTGTCCCCGGCAGCTTTCAGCACACCCTCGATCTGGATGTCCTGACCAAAGCTGCGTTTCCAGTCCTGAGTTCCTCCAAGGTAGAAGTTCTGGGTGGCTTTCTTGAGACACTGTGCACGAGTCGCTAGGCTTGTTTGGAAACCTGCCAAGTGGCGCTCCACACAATCCATGACACTCTCATCTTTTTCATTCATGGCTCGTTCATCCAGCTTTCCCACAACGTCCAAGTCAATGAGGACCATGTCTGGATTGAGCAAAGCACAATCCCCCTCGTTTGAACCCTTCACAGCTTCATTTGCGGCCGTGCAGATATCTGAGTGGTCTTCCTTCCATTGACAGATCTTTGCTTTGCTTTCCGCATAGCTTTTAAGATGGGCGCAGCACGCAAACAAAACCTTGAGCTTGGAATCCTTCTTGAGTCGCTCTTCCGCGTCCTTGCCTTTTTGCCACAAGTCATTAGCAGTGTGTTGACACATCAAACTTGATTTGATAATCTTCAGCTGTTGTGTCGCAAGCTCTGCATGTGGATGCTGACAGGAATCAATGAGGTTGCCCAAGAACTTCAAGGTCGCAAGCAACTCCGGTGAAGGGCCATCACCACCAGCAACCTGAATCAGGGCCCTTTGTATACAATATTATTAAAATCTAATATACTAGTTACTACTGTATACTATATACTATATACAAATATGTGATGATTAATGAATCAATGATGATTCACGTAAAGTTCAAAAATAGCCCGTAAAAGGAAACATAATGCCAGGTTTGTTTCTGCAAAGTCCTGCTACAACAAACTAAAATAACTAGTAACTAGTAACTTAGTAACCATTTCTTTATGTGTTGGACCAAGATTGACGACTAACACGCACCAGAAAAAACAAACTGCCAGCCCACTGATCATGAAAGCCCTTTGCCTGCCGCAGAACTTTCCTCATCAAGAAGGGCAAAGCAATTGCTAGATCTTGCATCTCTGCTGTCGGTTTTACAGCTTTTGGAAGCAGCTCAAGTGCCCTAGAACCTGGAAAAGGAACCGCAGATTCTGCATCCGTGTTCCGGGAAGATGAAACGAACTTCTTCAACAAGTTCTTGAGTTCAAAACGTTTGAGTTGGGCATTGTAGCAAGTAGCCCACTCAGTGAGTTTTGAGTTTAGCTCTTTGCAGTTCTTGTACTCCACAAATTTCTTGAGCGCCAGAAGCATTGTATCGAGATCGTGGCTGGAAATGTTGCAGCCCTCCGCTTCCATGGCCTCGCACATTAAGATTTAGATTGAAGTCAGCCTTGCAAGCCATATGGCATATTCAACATGGAAAGCAATGATTTGAAGGTGATGTAGTCTGACTCCCTGCAACTCTAGCTTGAAGAACTAAGTGA